CCTGTAAGAAAAGTGTAAGAAAAAAAGGGGGGAAAAGTAAAGAACTTGTTGATTTTAGAAAAGAAAACTGCCCCTGCAGCAACTCAAAATTAAAGGCGAAAATGTCGAGCAAGTGCCAGATTATAAGTATTTGGTGTTTCAATAGACAACAAACTGAACTGGCGTATCCACACTTCTCTCCTGCGTTAAAAAATGAACAAAAGACTATTTTTAAAGGACGCTCATGTATCTTAAAATTGATAAAGCATTGATGTCTATATTCTATCCTTTAACCATAGAAAGAATGATCAATTTCTGTATAACACGTGGGCCGGGAACACAAGACAACAAGATAAAGAAAAAAATATATTATCGATTAATACGTAAAGCATGCAAAATTTCAACATCTACATTCCCCTACGAAAAGAGCCATACATACACATTCCCTTAATTGGATGATTTGTACATCACAGCTTGCACTAAAATAAATTAATTCCATCTTTTTCGACAATAAACATCCCTTGTTCCCTCAAAGAAAAACACCAGTCAGAAGCTAAAGACCTAAGGCTTCTGATCTTTAACAAAGAAAGAGACAGAAGGTCATTTTTATAATCATCCATCAAATTTCTTCCATCTTAACCATCTTGTTACAAGTATTTATATAACCTTAGAGCATGCATCAGAATAACTTTGAGTAACAGTCAGAATACTGAGTATGTATCTAGCCGTATAATAATATAACCGTAATATATAATAATAATAATGTTGGGTGGGGGGAGGGGGGGCGCGCGCGCACGCGCGTGTGTGTGTGGGTGGGTGAGTGTGTGTATACGTGGTGAAACACCAATTTAATGTGCCAGGGTCTAGACAATAAATACTATCTTATCTGATCTAATCTTATCTTATACTACACTTTTGTGAGGGGAAAAAATAACAAGGAGATAAGGATGGCCGTGGTCAAGAAAGGCTGCATAGTCCAAAGAGCTTGCAGAGGCCACACGCACTTGGAAAAAATTTTCCAAGTATTGCACAGCACTGAAGAGACACATGGCTTTACTCAGGAGAGAGGAAGAAATGGAGGTGGAGGAAGAAGAGGAGGAAGAGTAAAAAGAGCAGGAATAGGACCCAGATTTGAAAGACAGCTCAGCAGATGCCCCTGTTCTTTAAACTATTGCTGATGTAACAGTGGAACCCTGATAAAGTCAACTTGCTTAACGTTACCAAAGAGGTGTAAGATAATATTTGAACAACCCCTAAGCTTGTTCACTTTCGTCTGATCGCGTTACAAAAATTCTGAATAAGTTATTATTAATACTTTACCTATGCCCACAAAACTTTGCATGGTACTTCTGCAGGAACCAAACTAAAATAGTTTTTTTAAATCTCGATATAGTGATAAAAAAGTTGTTTGTTTTTCTCTTTAGGCTTAAAAACTGCTCTTGAGATACATATACAGGATCAGTGAAATAAATGACTTACAGATCCTAGCCTTCAGTGTGAGCTTGTCGATTTCACCCCCACAGCTGTCTCGTGTAGACTTCTCCGCGTTCTCTTTGACTTTATTTTCCTGAAGGCCCCTTTTGAGTGATACAGATCTACATAACTCTATTATTATAGTATTATTTGACCATGTAGCCATTATAATTTTTTTTTAAACTATGGCAAGTTGGTTGCTTCTCTGAATGACTTTTGTCATTCACCACCGACTTTCCACCGTGTTGAAGAGAGAGGAAACAATAAAAATAGCGGGGAACACACTACAGTCTGGGCAACAACAAATGGACAACTTGTTGACCTCACTACACAGGATCAAAGTGGCGAATTACTCAGATAGTTTGCATGCGTCTCTGAATCACAAAAGACCTAAAAATTCCGTGTATATGAGACAAATATAAAGAGTTGTTTTCTATATAAGCATAAGCACAGTATTTAATTAGTCTCGGTAGGGCTCTTTCATCAGAACAAGAACGCTAGTTGAGTGTTAGCTTTTTTAGTTTGTTTAACCTGTTTTTATCTTTTGAACTGTCTGCGTGTGTTGCCAGTCCAGCGGTGACTGTGTGTTTATTTAGATTGACCATTAATCACCATGGTTAGATTAATTGATTTACAAACTCTAAAACCTTCGCCCTAAAACAACAGAACTATTTCTCCAAGGAAGCTGGTCGAGGCTGTGGATTAAAGAGGATGAAATTCCGGACAAAACAAGGTTAAGAAAAAGCCATCAAAACTAGAATCTAGATTGTTTTCAGGAAGATGTCATAAGAGAATAATCCACAGCATTTTCGACAACAGAGTCATAGTGACTATATAGAAACTTAGAGTGCACTTGAATGAGAATAATGGCATTGATGTTTCGAAATCAACTTTATTGAAGACAGTACGTTCGCTTGGATTTAATTTTCAGAAGACAATGCTAGAAAAAAAAAACTTCTTTGTGAGAGATGGGATCTCGTTGCAGCATAATCATAATTTAAAAAATAAATAAATAATTTTTAAAAAATAATAATAATAATAACAAAAA